GAGATAATTATAGAGTACATACAAATACATATTAATAATAAAAAATAATCTGTTTATCTTATGGATATACCACAATATTTTTAGTTAAAAACTTTAATCGCTTCTCCTGAAAAAGTACGTTTTTAGAGTTAATACAGTATTCTTGCGGGCAAGCGATATATATCAACTGGCACGGATCAACTGAACAGTTTGTTACAGATTCGTTGAACTAGAACCGCGCGCTGACTCGCGGTACAAAGTCTTGCGCGCGGGACGGAGCGCGCCTTGCGTTGCCTCGCGGTACCGCGCGGTGATGTAGACGATAATCGCCATTTACTTTGATGTTGTACCGCGAGGTTGGTAGTTCCGCACTGTACCGCGCGGTCATATGTACTTAGTCTAAGTCATAGGCACTACGTTCGCATAACTTAACAAGATAGTAACTGATTAAGTCATAGGCACGACATTGGCATATTTTAACAAAATAATAACTGATTAAGTCGATGTTAGCATAACTTAAGCTAGATGCGACAGAGGCGCGACGTTAGCTTGTCCGCCTTCTATTTTTGAAAAAGAGTCACAACGTTAGCGTATCTCGATATGACTTTCAGAAAGGAAGCACTACTTTACTATGTCTGACACATGTAACTACTCACCCTCAAAGTAAGCATGGGGGCACACACCTCACGTGTGGAGGCTAAACTAACGTTACTGGCTTAGTGTAACTTTCCCGTCTAGGCCCTTTTTAATTTTTATTCGACGGCACACAATGAATGAGCTCTTGAATACATTTCATACAGACTAAGCTTTTACAGAATTGAAAATATCATCCAAATCAGATTTTAGTATACAACGCTTCCTACTAGAATTTAACGCACGTCACAGATAACACAATCTTCTCTGAGGAATGCACACGGCACAGATCATACTATACACTGAAGGGACCACCCAGCTAAATGCGTTCAAGCGAGCGGTTCCGCTGCATTCGCGTAGCGAGCTGTCTCACTGCACTCGCGCCAGCGAGCCTTCGCGCTGCACCAGCGCCAGTGAGTCACTGTGCCGCACCAGCGCCAGCGCGCCGCTGTAGCGCAGCAGCGTCAGCGAGTCGCTACGCTGCACTCGCATCTGGACACCACTTGCAACGAAAGCTGAGCAAGCATCCATTCACTGCGCCAAAGCACCACGCACTCGGCGGACGTCGGCGGCGTAACCTCATTCCTTCCAAGGCTCGACCGCGCACCTGACCATGTCCAATTAGCCGTTCTACTATTTAGAGTAAGCTGTAAGACTTATCAACACATTAGAACATAAAAAGACAACTTTTTTTCGTAGCACGTTAAGGCTTTTTTTGGTACTAACGATGTACCATAAAAACTTGACACTACTAAAAAAACATTTCGAACTTTAATATGTAGCCCATGTAAATCATATTTCGCATGAACTATCAAATTATAACCAAACTCGAGCAAGTTAAATTTCCACTGAATGCAAACTATAATACTTCTAGAAAGCCTCCCCTCCAACATTTCTTTCGACATTTGTTAACAAAATGAAAGTACCTTTTTGTATAAAACGAACAAAATGATTTAATTTTTAGCTTAAAACATTTCACTTTAAATTTTTACTCTACACTTTAATGATAAATCAATGTCGTAAATAAGACATATAAACAAAGGCGATAATATGATACGCGTGGCGCATCGTAGTCTTTCACAAACGTAATAGCCCTCACACTATTTGTGGATTTATATGTGGACGATAACAGGGAATTCATCCCAATTCTGATGTAAGAAATTATTCCACTTCTGATGTTAGAAATTATTCTCAAAATTATTTAAATAAAAGAATACTACTCGGTAACAAACCCTGCTTACTATCAGGACCCAATTACATGATAACACCAAGGTATGCAAACCAACAGCATCACTACCCATCTCAATTTAACACAGAGCAGCCTCTCAGCAACACTATCCTCCTTGTCTACACTACTAGAATACCTCATCGGGCATATTAACGACAGTGAGACCCGTAGAATTACCGAAGCTGCTCTCTCTTAGTCGCCTGCGTGATACTTTATATTGCTAGAATAGGTGGAAGATTAACGTTCTACCTTCATTTGTTCGTATTTCCATTTATTTTTTACCCTCATTCCCAACAATATAATACCAGACATGAAGGATTTTGGGTACCCCTTTGTTAACGTACCCATCGATGGTAAAGCTCACCCTTGGTTCAGTGCCTAATGTATGTCGATACTTGAGATCGCAAAGCTCCAGATGTTATCAATTAGAAAAAAGCCTTTAATCAAGTCGCTAAGTCCCGTTAATAGGCATCACGGAAAGCCATTTTCTACAGCATTAATCGGTGCAAAATTCTCTGTTAAATTATCTTACAATTGAGCTTATTGGTCTCTCGCTAAAGCGGTCTAGATAAGCTTCTGTCGGCCTACACTGCCTCCACTGCTGAAAACGGATGGTAGACTAGAAGTGAACTTGTCCGCGTCTCTCCTTTCTTGTAATTAAAAATAGTGGCAACAAAGTTCCACCTCTACTACGTAACTACGGCCACCTTAATATGTGAAATCTGTGTTACTAACAAAGAGGTTTGTAAAACCCTAGATGTTAACAAAACTAATTGTTTTGTTGTTCCGCCTCTCACTCAGAACTGGAATAGTGTCCGATTCCTGGAAGCTAGCCAATGTGCTGCGTGTTTCAAAAAAGGGCAGTTGTTTTGACCCTGCAATTATCGGCCGATCTCAATTACCTCCACACTCTGGGAGATTATGGAGCGTATACTGAATGTTGACCTTATGGTTTACTTACAGCAAAACAAACTTCTCTGCTAAAGATAGCATGGGTTCTGCCATAGTCGGTTAACAAGGGACTTTTTAGCGTATTCCACACTCATAGTAGGGGCGAGGCTTTAGAGAATTATGGGGAGGATAGGAGCAAACAAGAAATAGTTAAAACTACTCACTAACAAAAAATGCACCGCACACACCAGGCGACCATTCTCCACGTCACAAAGTCATGCATGCACTTTGTGGCCATTTCGGTAACCAGTAGCGCCACAGCAGCGTGAGCAACGCATATCTACAGCACCGTCATACCGTCACCGTAACTACGTCCAACTAAAGTCTCAGCATCAAAGCATCTTGATGCTTGACTCGCATTGAGGGAGTTAAGCTATAACAACGCTGTCGCAGCACAGCACCAACACATGTCTCAGATGTGGGCTTAGCAAATGGGCTTCCAAAGCACACTCGGAGTGGCCACCTCAGGCTAACCATTCACCTCGGGCTAACCAAGTGGGTTCCTCTTAGTTCAGAGTCCTACTGCACGGGGAATAAAATATTTGTACAGACAGCTAGTGTGACAGAGGAGGACATGGAGTAGAGTTTTTTTTTTCAGAACGAAGACGTTTATGGGAATCACCTGATACTAAAATTTGCAATCCAGATATTCAGGGACAGACGGATCGAGTAAAACTGAGAATGAATGATATACACATATTCTGAAATACCTACGACAGCCAAGTGCTAGCCATTTAAGTATAATACTTACATTTAAATAATTATATAAGTATATCCCTTTAAGGCCGGGAAAAAAAATCTTGCGTAGCTCGTTTTCGATCTTATATTCTAAGTACCCATATCCAAAGACATCCTAGGAAAATAATAAAAAAAATCCCGCCCCCTCCCCCCTGAGAAAACGTATTGTCACGATAGTGCGATGTCGGCTTGACCTTGTCTATCAGAATTTTGTTAAGGTATAATTTTGCTATGTATATTTTTGTAATTTATAATGAAAAAAGGCATGATTATTCGTAATTATTTATTTTTATAAATAAAAATTAATTAATCAAGTTTTAAACTAAAAAATAACTTCTTGAGATCAATCATTTCTTAAACATTTTATTTTGGTACAATCACTTTGAAATAAAATCTTAGGAAACTTAGCCTCTAATTATTGCCTATGAAAGGATTTGAAACAGTTGCCTTTTCTGTTAAGACAAAGATACACGTTGCATTTTTCACATCTTATCTTGGATCTACTCGTACACCCTTCCATTCTACAGGATCGAGGGTTTTCGATCTCGTCAAATACCGGGTAATGTTCATAACCATCGTGACGTTTCGCCTCTGAAAGTAGGTACATTAGCCGGTCGGTATCTCTTGGCAGGAATATTTGGGTCGACATTTTCCGGATCTTGAGCCTCCAAACCTTCCATGTTTTCAACAAGATCTTGTTCTGGCCTTGGACGATCAGGGATATTGGTGAGACCATCAGCTACTTGCAAATTGAACTGAAGTAAGTCAAAGACTTTGCCCCTATGTACGTGAGCCGTCTGGCAGTGTATTTTGTATAAACGCCAAGCATTTGCGACTGCAAGATCAAAAAAATGTAACATGATCTTCAAAGTCCATTTTCAGGTCTTCATAAAAGTTCGATAATACTCGATTGATTGGTCGAGGACGTCAACTCCTCCCATGTTCCGATTATAATTGGCAATGATAAGGGGCTGCCTGACATCGATGTACGCATTCTCCTTTTATTCCATCGCTTCACGAAAATATGATCGTCTGCCGAAGTGCAATTGGATGCCGCCAGAACGGATTTGTTGTCCATCCAGTGCACAATTACAACACTATTATTTACGAACTGTTCAGTATCTCCTCGGTTCATTTCACGACCCTTTTTAAAAGTCATATATTTTTTGTCAGGTATTCTATTCATCATAACCGTTCCTGTGCCATGCATTCCTTTTTCAGATAATCTTTCCAAGAGAGGTATTGACGTGAAATAACGATCGAAGTAAATGCAACTTCCTGGGGGAATGGATTTGGAAAGGAGCAAAATAACTGCTACACCCACACCTAAAGATTTATCTGTGAATGGGGTGTTAGCCCCTTGATAGACTTCAAAGTCGAGCATTAGACCATCGCTTGTTGTGGCTACAAAAGCTTTCAAGCCGGTGGGTCTAGGTTTGGACTTTATGACTTGGCGTAGACCTTTTGGGCATTAGCCGCAGAAGGGGATCATTTGTTCGTCTATAGAATAGTAACCCGGTAGCCTTTCTATTTTCTCACAGGCATTTTTTACCTGATTTAATACCGGTTGTATTTTCCATAGACTGTTCTTATTACCAACTGGGGCGATATCCTTTTCCACCACATGTAAATTTGTGCGCAACAGCCTCAGTTCAGCCAGTCTCATTTCTTGCCTCCTGTACATATGAAGTCGTGGATAAGTTATGCACCCCATTATAAAATGCACACCAATGAACTTCTTCATTTCTACAGGATTAGTATGAAGAGTTCCAGTTTGCCTCAAGTAGTAATTATTTGTGCAGTAAGCAGCTTTCTCATAAAATGCATCGTCAAAATAGTCCTCGAAGTATTCAAGAGGCGTTCTAATTGTTTGTTGTTCCTGTGGCGGAAAATTATGTTCTTTTTGGTCAAATGGAATAGATTTCCATAGCCTTCGCCTAGACGGATCCCTGTTGCGTTGAGCTGCCTCGGACTGAGCACGAACGCTAGGTGGCGGATTACTAGATAAATCAGGCAGCTGATCATTTCTACTCATGCGGTCCCTCGTGCGGTACCGAGAAGTACCATGAGATGTGCTTGGTGCGCTTGATGAACGATCAGGTAGATGATGCCGGCGACTTACAGAAAGACCACGTTGAGATCCAGCACAGACTGTATTCGGACTAGGACTTATTTCTGGTACCTGAATGTTAGTGGTTTCTTCTTCTTGCTCGCTGTTAGAAATATCATCGTCCGAATACGACTGACCCGCCACCCGATCTGGTACGGCCTCAATGCCTTCCTCTTTATGACATTCCTCATCTTCGAAACCCTCTATCTCAGACTCGTTTCCGTCTGCTATCAATTCTAGTAAGTATTCCGAGGTTAATGTTTTTTCTGCAACAGAAAAAGAGCGTTTTGTAATTTTTTTACCGATTAAAAACATTAAAAACATTGATCTAATTTTTAATCAACATTTTTGATAGACGAGTTAAAGCCGGACTCGCACTATCGCGCGTGTTTGAACTAACAACCAAGTATCTTCGTGTCCGATAGAGGTACGCATTGAACTATAGTTGTCTCATTGACTTGACTTTATTACCTATTAAAATCGCACAATCAATGTAGTCAATCACTATTAAAAATATTTTTAATCATTACTTACTTTTTCCACGCGCGTCGATTAGCTGCACCGCCAAAAAACCGCGTAAAAAGCTGTTATTTTGACATTACAAACAGACACTTCAGTTTTATTTATTTGTATAAATTATAAAAAAAAATATTGCGATACCTTTATTTAATATAAAATTATTAAAGTTTTAAGAAACAACGATTTTTATAAGCACTAAGTGTTCAGTGATGTGCGTTTTCTTGATGTACATATCAAGCAACGCGGACGAAGTCGCGGGTATCAGCTAGTACTAAGCACATATAAGTAGGTAATATACATTTCTTTCTAGTATTCTGATCACTAAATCACGCGGTGCTCGCATAGCAAATATTAAGGATGTCAATACCCTGTATATTATATACCTTAGAATATTACTATTCTAAGTTATATACCCTCTCCATACAACGATAGAGACAAAGATTTAAATCTTTGGATAGAGACACGTCCAGCTGTGGACTTTACGGAATGATAAGTGATAACGATGATGAAGAAGAAAAGAAGCAGAAGAATTTACAGATTCCTTTAAAGAAATATATGAAAATTATTTAACGGTTATTAAGTTTAAATAATTAGTCATAAATAACGAGCCCAGTCAGTAGTCACGTTGACTAAACACGCCTCAATCGCGTGCACTGGTCTACGTCCCTACCCGCAGCTCTCAATGTAAACCGGATAGTCCGTGAACGAAGCGTGTTTTGTTTATCGTTCTGCCCCACGAATAACAAAGAGAAGTCGGTTATTTTATCACATAAATAAACTTTTGTTTATACGTTAGCTTATTCTGTTACCTCTTCTTCTTTCGCTGTGTTGTATTATTTATCAAAATGTCAAAATCTGTACCAGAATTACGTACGATCACGTATATGTGCCCTACTCATCCGGTGCAGTTATATGAACTGATTTTAGAACTGCTAGAAGATACGCTAGGCTGCCATACAACATTGCAATATGAGAGCAGAAGTCCAGGGCCTTTACGTGACCGCCCCGATCCTTTCATAAGTGATAAAATTGATTTGGGTAAGTACATAACAACTGATAAGACATTTATACAAAGGTGTAATTTTCAAAATAATAATCAAATTTATGCCACACAAATTGAAATACTTACGTGATATATTTTATGGAATTCAATTAATTCTATCGCTAACGTTTATATTTGTAAAAATGCATATATTCATAAAAAATTAATTGCACTTTTTTTAAATAATTCGTATTGCAAAATTTAATAATGTTTCCCCTCAGTACCTATATAGTGTTTTTTTTATCTATCTATTCCTATATTTAAATATAAATGAGCATAATAATATGATATCTATATTATATTTAAATATAAATGAACCAGATTTAATAAGTGCGGGTAGCGTGACCTTGTCAAGTCGACAGTGAAGCCCAACCCATAGATGCCCAACCTCTCCACTTCGTGTGTGTGTGCTTCACTCACGCACGCAGACACGCACGCATGCAAGCACGCACGTACGCAATATAAACCAGTTGACTTTTCTACCGACTTCAAAAAAGAGACGGTACGAGGGTGACACTGGAAGTTCTTAGAAAATCAAAAACTGAACAAACTAGCAAATTATTAGTTTTATTATATCTCTTCAAAATAGTGTCCATTTACATCAATGCATCGCTGCATCCGATGGAATCACTTGAGAAAAGCACTTTGCCTACTCGTCCTTAGGGGTCTCTTCGACGGCATTTTAAAACGCATCCACTGCTTCCTCGGCGTCCATAAAACGTTTTCCTCGAAGTTTTTCTGTTATTTCGGAAATAAATAAAAATGCAAGATGCGAGGTCGGGGCTGTAGGGCGGGTGACCCAGTAATTCCACGTCTGATGGTGCCAAGTATTCGATTTTTTGCTTGGCGGTGTGCGACTAGGCGTTATCGTGGTGAATAAGGATTCTACTGCGAGGCTTTGAGGTTCCTGAACTTTTTCCAAGACAAGTGCCAAACAATTGTCAGTGTACCACTCTGCAGTAACGTCTTCTAACAGTCCTTCCGAAGAACGAGGCCACCATCGTTTTTCCCACGCTTCGACCTCTCTTCACTTTAGTTGGCAACTCCTTGGAAGGAAACACCCAGACAGCAGACTGTCTCTTAGTTTCGGGATCATAACAATAAATCCAGATTTCGTCACCCGTAAGTATGTCGAACACAGTATTTGAGTCACCTCCGTTAAATCTTTGAACCATTTCACTACACCAATCAACACGACGGAGTTTTTGGGCCTCTGTTAAATTATAAGGTATCCACCGAGCACAAAGCTTCTTGACCGCTAAATGTTCATGGAGGATTTTCTCGCATTAAATTCACGCAGACGTGACGTGAACAATTTTCAATTTGCCGCCAAATCGTATAAAATGACAAATTAATAAAATATATACACAAGTACATGGCCAGGTAGACGTTGTTCTGCCCTTTCCGAAGACCCTTCCTATAAAAATTCTTAAATTCGCAATAAAAAAATATAGAGGGCCACTTATCGGGATAAAAACTATCCTATCTCTCAAGTTGGACCAAACTGCACACAGTTTGAAAAATTTCATTGAAATCAGTTCAGTAGTTTAGGAGTACATCGCGGACAAACAATGTGACACGTAATTTTTTTATATATAAAGATAATATTGGCAAAGAGTTCCATTTTCAAAATTTGAACATATTTTTTTATAGTATCGTTTACAAGTTGCCAGTTTTAAAGACTTTCAGTGTCGCTCTCGTACTCAATTCGACTGTATGTTTCTTTTTCTATTTTGTTTCTGTGTGTTACCTCATAACTTTTTACTGGATGAACCGATTTCGATAATTCTTTTTTTATTTGAAAGCTGGTGATTCTCATGTGGTCCCATATAGATTTCATCAAGATTTGACCAATAGTTTTTGAGTTATTTTCATTAATTTATATTAGTCAGTTGTACAAAATTTTTAATTTTTAATTATTTACCGTGAGGATTTTAATATGCCTTCATACTTTTGCTCAATTTATAGATAAACTATAGAGACCCCACCCGGCTTTGCCTGTCGCTAAATTTAACATAATCTTCAAAGAGCATTTTTTTTATCAGTTTTTCGATTTTCCATGTTCACTCCTGGGATTGCTGACTATATTGTCTGTCAGTAATATATAAAATAATACTGAGGAACAATTCAATTTTATTTATATGTATAAATATTATTTCTTCTGTTTTTTGACAGCTTTTATGACAGCAGCATCTTATATGAATCTACGTAAAGAAGGAAATAAATCTATTGAACTGCTACCCGTAACTCCAGTTTTTGCGCACCAAATGAACGTCGAGAACAAATCGGGATATTTCTCAGACATTATCATTCACAGTGATAAAAAGTAAGTAAATTTTCTTTTGTTATGACACTTAAGGTGGCGACCGCCAGGCATTATGCTCAGAGTAGTAAAGCATCAAATAAAATATTTTTTGGGAAATTTAAAACTTTGTACAAACGACTTCAAAATGAATATAATTTATTGTTGAGTGTTTAAAAACCCCTCCACCGATTTCTATAAAATTTAAATGGGACCACCTGGGAAGTATACCCTTTGAAACAAAAAAAGAATTTTCCGAATCGGTTCAGGCGTCTTTGAGTAAGCATAAAGAACACACATAAAAAAAGATTTCGATGAATTGAGAACCTCCTCCTTTTTTTAAGTCGTTTGAAAAATCAAAGATATTAGAATATTAAATAGTTTTTTTTTGTATTTGAGCAGGAATGGTAGGAACTTCTTTCAGTGATTGTACTGAATTAGATAATCCTAGATATGTATCGATAATTATACTAATCTTAATTGCAAAATTGAAATGTAGAACCTTGGATCTGTACTGCACGAGTCGGGGAACATAGATTACAACCTTCGAACCCGTATTGGTGCAGCTAGAAGTAAGTAGCGAGAATTCACGGAAGTTATCTGCGATCGTAATATACCACTCAAGCCCAAAAGTCAAGTGTACAAGAGCATTATCCGACCCGTATCATCATCATCATCATCATTACAGCCTCTCATAAGTCCACTGCTGCACATAGGCCTCCCCCAAGGAATGCCACAAACCACGATCCTGAGCCACCTGCATCCATTGACTTCCTGCATGTCTTACCAAGTCGTCACTTCATCTCGTGGTGGGTCGCCCTACACTTCACCTACCGGTACGAGGTTGCCACTCAAGAACCTTTCTTCCCCATCGGTTGTCGGTTCTTCGAGCTACATGGCCGGCCCACTGCCACTTCAGCTTACTAATCCGTTGGGCTATGTCGGTTACTCTGGTTCTTCTGCGGATATACTCATTTCTAAGTTTATCACGCAGAGAAACCCCGAGCATAGCCCTCTCCATAGCTCGCTGAGCGACCTTGAGCTTCCTCATACGGCCAGCAGTGAAGGACCACGTCTCAGATTCGTAAGTCATCACTGGCAACACGCACTGGTTGAACAATTTCGTTTTAAGGTTTTGAGGTATGTCTGACGAGAAGATCTGTCGTAGTTTCCTGAACGCTCCCCAGCCGAGTTGAATCCGTCGATTGACCTCTCGGTCGAAATTGGACGTTCCTAAGACCTATTCGTTGGGAGACACTATTGAGGTCATTGAGCATAGTGCTTAGGTCCTCCAGCGATTCTGCCATAAGGACTATATCGTCGGCAAATCGAAGGTGAGTGATGTACTCGCCATTGATGTTAATACCGTACCGTTTCTTTTTTTTTTTAATAAAACGTTACCCCCACACTAGGATTTTCTCCTGTGTCGTGGAGGCAGTTTACAAACATAAATTGCACAAGGACAAACATCCAGACCCGGAACAATAATTTTTGTAGGCCATACAAATACTTGTTCCGTGCGGGATTCGAACCCGCGGCCCCCAGCGCAACAACTGATTGCTAAGCCACTGCGCCACGGAGCAGTCAGAAGCTTGAAAACGTCTTCCAATGCAGCGGTGTAGAGTTTCGGGGATATAACATCACCCTGTCTTACACCTCTCTGCAATTGGATAGGTTTCGTACTCTGGTTTTGTACTCGGATAGCCATCGTAGCTCTAATGTACAAACACTTCAGCACTTCGATATACCGACAGTCAACTTGGCACCGCTAAAGGGACTGCAGCACCGCCCAAATTTCGACGGAATCAAAGGCTTTCTCATAGTCCACATACGCCAGACATAGTGGCAAATTGTACTCTTCGGACTTCTGTACAATTTGCCGAAGGGTATGTATGTGGTTTATGGTGCTAAAGCCCTTTCGGAAACCGGCTTTTTCGGGAGGCTGGAAGTCGTCAAGTCTGCGCGCGAGACGATTCATAATGACTTACGAAAACAGCCCGTAGACGCGGCTCAGAAGGGAAATCGGTCTGTAGTTCTTCAAGAGAGCGTTGTCACCTTTCTTGAAGAACAAGACCACCGCACTTCTGCTCCACGCCTCCGGTGTAATGCCACCATGGAGGACGGAATTAAAGAGCTTCTGAAGGACTTCAAGTACCCACCCGCTTTCAGAAGCTCCGCTATGTGGCAGATAAACTTCAGGAAAGTCAGTTAAGGTTGTGCGGACACGTCCTACGTAAGCCAGTAGAGTACCTTAGAAGGAGATGCCTTAATACCGTTGTGGCTGGAGCAAGACCACGCAACGGACCCAAAAAGCACTGGCTCGATGTAAGGTTGGATTTGAGAATCAATGGACTCACTACTGAGGAAGTTTCAGACCGGGCAAAGTGTAGCTGGATGTGCAGGAAAGTAACAAGGATAACACATAAAAGAAGAAAAAAAGAATAATAAGGATAAAGACGGACTAAAAACGGGTTGTGTCGGACACGCACCGACTAAAAACTCTCATGGTGTTTCACCTTCGCCACATATTGGTAGGGCCACGGGCACTCGGAGCGCCCACCTCGTGCCAGCTCTTCACCTAGAGCCAGCCAAGCGGACTCCTCTTCGTTAACTGTGGATGACCAAGCCAGCCTACTTAAGTCCCTGTCATGATAAGGTCGTTTGGGGGAAATCCGATCGGAGGGCCCAGGCTTACCGATATGAGGCTGCTTTTTGAGATTCTTTGTTCATCGGTTATTGGTTAAGTGTTACATAGTCGTCCCATTGCCACTTAACCTGTGGACCTGTGATGACCTGTAGTAATTATCATCATTTGTCATTATCATGATATCTAATCAAAGAACATATTTATTATTTCTGCAACTTGAAGAACATCAATTTTACAAAGAAAAAAATACTTAACTAAATATTAAAAAAAAGGATTGCAGCAACAAAAAGGCCACTGGCTCAGCATAATGCTACAGTAACAGAGTTACCGGAGCCACATATTAAGTTGACTCGCAAGCAATCACAAATCTACTGCTAAATATGGTCCTTATCTAGGAATGCCAGCACGGTCCTGAGCCAACTTCGTCCATTGACATCCTACCAGGTCGTCACTCCATCTAGTGAGGGGCCAAATTACACTTTGTATATTGGTATACGAGGCTGCCACCGGAGAACCTTTTTTCTTAATCGATTTTCGGTATTTTAAGCTATATGGTCTACCAATTATCACTTTAACTCACTGATTAGTTAGGTTATATCGGTTACACGTGATTCTATTGCGCATATCTCCATTCCGAATTCAATCACGCAGGGAAACTCCGAGCATAGGCCTCTCTATAACTTGCTGAGCGACTTTGAGTTTCCTCACGGGCCAGCAGTGAAGGTGATGTCTAAGATACATATTTATGCCATCATTGGCAACACGCGCTGGTTTTATACCTACTCTTGTTTTCAAGTATAGAGATATAGGTACCTACGTGAAGAGAACATGTTGTCTCGTAGCTGCCCAGCCAAGTTGGACCCGTTGATTACCCTCTCGGTTCAAGTTCGACTTACCTGGTCAGAAAATTTGTCCTCGGTTATACTTGTCAATAACTTTGAGCATAATGCTTCTAACAACTACCGGTATAGGTGTGACATGGAAATTACACACGAACGTGGTCTTGCCTATGTTCATAATTAGACCTATCCGTTGAGAAACACCATTGAGGTCATTTAGCATAGTGTTGAGGTGCGATACTGCCATAATTGCTATGTCGTGCTAAGGCGAATGATGCCATTTTTAGTGATGCTAGAGAGCCATTCTAATTTAACTCAGACTCAAAACGTACGGGATATTATCGGAATAGGGTCGAATGAAACTTGCCCTTGAATCGTAACACACTCTTGCGTGTGGCTTCAACGACAATGAGTACAGCTATAATACGTAGAACCTCCCAATCTCACTTTAAATCTCTAGTTTCCCGGAAACGACACTGCCACAAGCAATCTTTAACTCTGATAGTTGGTTCTTTTTGATAGACAGACCTCTGGCAAAAATTTTAGAGCCTTGCTTCCACTCAATCGCAACTTCTCTATTGAAGTGTGGGCCGTGGACTCGAGGCCGTTTCCTTAAGTTGCTGATCACGGGGAGAAGTTAGCCATTGTTGCAACAACTGTATAATTGATGTGATGACAGTACAATTAATTAGTATTATTTTCTTATTATCATTTTATTAGAAATTGATATTATGATATACAGAAATACGTTGACAAAGCTAACACGTTTCGATCTTCGTCATCACCTAAATACCAATACTTGCGAAGATAAATTTTATGTTATCAGCTACGGTATGTCTATTACTGATAAGAAATGGCCCCTATTACTCCACAATTGACTTCCAACTAGCATTGTTCTTAGTAGTTGTTCATATAATAAACAAATAGTTATTTATTCCAGAGCTCATAATGTTAACACATTATTAGATCTTCGAGGATGTACTTTCGCCTACAGCGATGAAGAATCTCTTAGTGGAAGCAAAATTATACTGAAAACATTAAAAGAGAAAGGAGAAAATGCATCGTTTTTTGGATCGCTATTAAGTACTTTATACAATTTTTAATATGTTAATGATTTGTGTTTTGATATATTAGTAGAATATTAAGTTGGTATTAAATAATTACAGAATCCGGCTCGCACTTGGCTTCAGCGCAAATGGTACTTTCGAAACAAGCTGAATGGGCAGCAGTTGACTCTACAACTCTTTTGTATTCAAAGAAATTTATGTATGACGGAGGAAAAGACATAATTACGTTAGAAACTTTGGGTCGTCTACCACCATACCCTATCGTTGCAAATTCAAAACTACCAGGTGGGTACACAATTTTAAATCACGAACATTACTTGCTTTAATTTATTTACCGAAGGAATGTTCTAACTGCATTTTTTCCAGATGAAACTAAAAAGGCTATAACACATGCATTGTTGACTCTGCCACAAACAGCACAATGGAAACAGAAGTTTGCACCTTTTGGTGTAATAAAATTCGTATACAATAGTGATGGTGCTTATGATGGGACGACTGCACAAATGTGGTCCAGCCAGACGGAAAAACTTAACATTAGGTATTATTAGGATATTTCTCGTTATTTCTCTAATGTACATAATATACATTTTGTATGTTGATTACACACCTAAATAAGTTATGTTAAAATAAACCCATATGGTTATTACTGATGTTTATTATTAAAAATAACAATAGGATTTTTTGAACAAATTTACTATAGACGCTGACGCTGCGTTTTCTATACAAAATTTTGTATAGAAACTGACACAAAATTTTTTTGCCTAGTTTAGTTACATTCCTTTTTTTCAAGTTTAAAAGTTATTTCATTTTTCTTCTTCTGACACTGTATTATTAACTTTTTTGGTATTTTAACTGCAAATATCATTTGATGTTTCGGGGAAGATGTTTTGGGATCATTCTGTAAAAAAAACAACAATCAATGAGGTCAAAAATAAAATATTTGTACAACTTTTTATGGTTAATTTATTTATCACAAAAGTATACTAAGAACACAATAAAAAACCAGATAATTTTTATTAGCAATAAATTAATAACACTATTCGCAAAGGATATCTACATCTTGATATTTGAAATAATAAGATTATTACTTAAAAAAAAACATGAACTGACTTCAAATTATGGTGAACATCTGGGACCACTGTGAAAGAGTTCTTTCGATAAAATAAACAGAAAATCGTTGATAATGTCAGATGTTCTGAACACTTGCTTCTTTTAATACTTCACAACACTATGTAAAATTTTTACAACCGTTTTTATCTAACTAGAGTGGATAATGTTATTTATTTTATGTTTTGCCCCATCGATATGTAAAGTACGTACAATTCAAAAGTTCATACAGCTGCAGCGTGGCTTTACGTGGTAGAGCCACGATGCAGCTATATTAGTAGTATAGTTGTAGCACGAATGGGTCGGCTCGACCGGGGAAGGACCACGCTCTCACAGAATACCAGCGTCAAATAGCAGTTTAACACTGCTGTGTTTCGTATGGTGAGTGTAGAGAACCGGAGACCCTTTTTACTAGAAAAGAGGCATTCCATCTTAGTCCTCACGGGTGACAACGCATCTGCGTTTTGATTCGCAAACGAAGATAAATGTAGATGTCTATGGGCCATAGCAACAACTTACCATCAGGTGGACTGTGTGCTCGTTTGTCACTTGATCAAAAAATCTATGCCCATTTAAACTAATATAATATACTTACTAAAGAGTCGTGTGTTGGCGGTGTAAGAATATCCACTACCCCATATCATCCCGTGGCTGTCGTAAGAGGTGACAGAGGGAAAAAAATCAGATGGGTAGAGGCGTCTTCCTAATAACGACTGAAAATAAAAAACTTTTTAACAATGGTAGAGCCACGCGGTAGCTTTTGCTGTCATAGGGATGGGCCGGCTCGAACCGGGGTGGTACCACGACCTCACAGAAAACCAGCGTGAAGTAGAGATTTACCTCTGCGTTTCGCTTGGTGAGTGCAGGTGGCTGGAGGCCCTTTTTACTGGAAATGAGGCATTCCATCTTAGTCCTCACGGGTGACAACGCATCTACATTTTGATCTGTAATAGAGGATAGATGTAGATGTCTATGGGCCGCAGCAACCACTTACCATCAGGTGGACTGTGTGCTCGTTTGTCACCCTTATCCTATAAAAAAAAAACTGCGGTTGCCAACCCGCTTGCCAAGCGCGTCAACTATGGCAAATATAAGGCAATCAGGAGGAGGAAATGAAAATAATGGAGGCCTATGTTCAGCAGTGGACTTTAATAGGCTGTAACGGTAACAGTAAAGATCTATGCTAGAGCTGGACGGCGCGCTCGAACATTTATATTTCACTAAAAACCACGAGCTCTTTTATCTGTTAAAAAAAAATCGAAAAAGAAAGATGTCTGTTGCAAAAATTTTCTCATTGCTTTGATAATGTGTTGTATTTATTAAAAGAACCCTTAGAAAAAAATTTCAATTATGCAAAAATATAAACCAAGTTTTAGGCAGGCGTAGGCGTAGGTGATTTATTTAAGCTGGAGTTGAGCTTATTAAACATATTTTTTGTACATGGGAGAATTCAGGGGATGCTTAGGGTATATTTTGTGACCTTTCCAAGGCCTTCGACTGTGTTCACCATGAGACATTAATCAGGAAGCTACAGTACTATGGTGCCAAGAACACAGCGCTTAAACTTATTATTTCATATTTAAGTAATAGAAAGCAGAAGGTTATTATCAATGGTAAAAGTTCTTCCGGGTCACCTGTACTAATGGGTATTCCACAGGGCTCGATTCTCGGCCCATTCCTGTTTCTGGTGTATATTAATGACTTACCTCACCTTGTAGGGGATAGTCATGATATAGTATTATTTGCTGATGATACTTCGTTGATTTTTAAACTTAAACGTCAATAATTTAAATGTGACGAAGTGAATAATGCTATATCAAAATTAGTGCATTGGTTTAACGTTAATAATCTGCATTAGAACGGAAATAAAACTAATTGTGTTAAATTTACAACAACGAATGTTAAAAATCTGAATACCAATGTGTTTTAAATGGGGAGGAATTGAGCCCTGCTGTATCCACTGTTTTTCTTGGTATCACTCTTGACGCAAAGCTTCAGTGGGGCCCCCATATATCCAAATTAGCAAGCAGACTAAGTTCTGCAGCCTATGCTGTAAAAAAGATTAGAGGTCTCACTAGTGTGCAGACAGCTAAATTAGTTTATTTCAGTTATTTTCATAGCATAATGTCTTATGGGCTTTTGCTATGGGGAAATGCGGCTGATTCAGAAACTATTTTTGTTTTACAGAAGAGGGCCATTAGAGCTATTTACAATCTAAAACCGAGAGAGTCTCTTAGAGATAAATTTAAAGAATTAAAAATATTAACTTTGGCCTCTCAGTATATTTACGAAAATTTAATGTATGTTCACAAAAACAAAGATAGTTTTAGTAAAAAAAAGTGATATACATTCTGTAAACACTAGGAACAAACACAAGCTAGTGATGCCAGTTTCTTGACTCCACAGAGTCAGTAATTCATTCTTGGGGCAATGTATACGCTATTACAACAAGGTCCCGGAAAGTGTACAGGTTCTCTCTATTACCAAGTCTAAATGTTTTATTAAGCTGAAACTGTATAAAAAGGGTTATTATAGTATAACTGAAAACTGAATACATGGTTGATAATAACCCCTGGGAATGAGGTGGTCGCTTCCAAGCAGTTTCTAAAATAAATTTTGTAAATAGTTCGTAATCATTTATATTGTAAAATTTATTTAAAAAATAAAGTCCCGCTGGGTTTCTTGCTGGTTCTTCCCAGGACAGAAGGTTTTTTTTTCGAACCAGTGGTAAAGTAAAAAATGACTTTCAATAAGAATTACACATGTAATGTATATTGAATAAAAATTATTCTATTCTATTCTATTTAAGTGAGTTTGCTATCGGGAATTCATCAAAAACATGTTACCAATTTTACCGAACATGTTAAAGAGCGTTGGCGTACCTACTTTTTGCAGCTGAGCAACCCGAGTTCGATGCCCAACGGTACCTCTAAAATAGTCAACCACGCTTAATACCATTGAAGTTATTACATAGATGTATATATCACTTCAATGATTAATACTGATTTACCAAGCATATAATGGCAAAAATGTCGAAAGAAAACCCAAAAATGTATGCTCGAAAATATGACGAGTCCGTCAATTGTCACTAAAACAACGTGAAACTTTTCTGTTCCACAACGTTTGCGGAAAGAACCGTCTATACTAAGTTGTGTATCGCCAGCAATGCAAAGTCAGGAATTTGCATTTAGAAAAACCCAAAATTAAGGGCTTTATGATGCTAATCGGGTGCCAAGTTTAAAAATTAGGTGGTCTAAAATGTTCACCGGAACGAACTGTAAAAAGAAGATTAGCATTGAAGTAAAATATATTCATATGTAAAATTACCTACTTCAATGAAGATAAGGGACTTTTTAATACCAGGTGTTTTCACCTTTGGAATTCTTGTCAATATATTTTAACTTTCATTGATAAAAAGTTCAAAAGTTTTTTAAGAGTTCAAATGCCTATGTACTTTGCTTACTACACCGAAATTATCGATGGACATCAATGCTTGTATAAAGAATATTGTTTACTAAAGTGTCCAGGTTTTAAAAGCCAAATGTTGCAAGGATCAAATTAGGCAATGGAAAAGAATCGTTTTTCTTTATTAACCTACAATAGGGCAACACTAGAAAATCTTCGCGAAGATTTATCGTAATCGCCACGCCATCGATTAACAGCCAGGTTGGCGATTACCGTTCCAGACGTTTTGCACCTATGACGGTACTTCTTGTCATCGATCAGAGAATTTCACATTTGTCATACTTCCGTCTTTATCAGCCCGTATCAGTCCAGGGCTGGACAGTTATTACAACAAATAAGGGTGACAAACCACCACACAGCCCATCTGATGGTAAATGGCTACTATAATCCATAGACATCTATATCTATCCTCGATTAAAAATCAAAATGCAGATAAGTTGTCACTTCTATGGAACGATGAAATGCCCTATTATTAGTAACAGTAAAATCGTCAGTGATTCTCTTTACCCACCCTAAGAGACATGGAATCATTACATATGTACTGTTATTCCACGATGGTATTTTGTTTTCTCCTTCCCCGGCTACCCTGCAGTGTCGATCTGCATTTTTCATAACCGTGTAGTGGCAGTGTAAGAATATCGACTACCCCATATCGTCCCGAAGGTGTGGTAAGAGGCGACAGAGGGAAAATGAAGCAAGATATGAGCAGCAACATCTTCCTGATACCTAACAACTCAAAATAATAAAATACTGCGGTTTGCAACCCGCTTGCCCAGCGTGGCAACTATAACAAAATCCCCTTATGAGGCAATCTATGAGAGAGGCCCAAGTTCAGCGGTGGACTTTTATAAGCTGTAATGGATGGATGGATAATATTTATAACCACATATATCATAGTCTTTATGGCCTTTTAGGAAGGTGTTTTTTTTTTTATAAGATACACCTTACACCGCCAACACACGACTCTTTAGTAGGTATATTATATTAGTTTAAATGGGCATAGATTTTTTGATCAAGTGACAAACGAGCACACAGTCCACCTGATGGTAAGTGGTTGCTGTGGCCCATAGACATCTACATCTATCCTCGTTTGCGAATCAAAATGCAGATGCGTTGTCACCCGTGAGGACGAAGATGGAATGCCTCTTTTCCAGTAAAAGGGGTATTCGTTTTAAATACAAAAAAAAACAGAGATGGCATTTCTTACGCCGCCACCGCACAGTAATTTTGCATAAATGATTTTTTTTAATAATATTAGAGAAAGAAACGCGCTAACAGTCTATCTAATAAGAATTGGCTACTTCCCATAAACGTCGAAATTATTAACAGGGCTTTGCTTTTGAAGGATAAGAGTTATTTAATCTGCAATTAGAGTGAGTTTATACGATTTATTAAACGTGCAAGTTGTATCACCCAGACAGTCGTGACCAACCTTTATTATGAGATCGCATAATACGGAGAACTAGCACATGAAAACTTGCTCATTTGCTCATATTTCGAAGTAATACTTAATGATCGCGAAAAACTAAAACCCCTATAACAATCTTACCATTCGTATCCCAGTACATTCATCCTCCTTCTTCACTAAATCATTTTCTTTTACAACTGTATGCTTGTGAAACTCTCCCACTCCCTGTTTTTCTTTTAAAATCTACTCAAAGCTTATTATTTAGAACTCCAATATTTCCCATCACATACTTTCCTTTCTAAAATCTATCCTTTTTTATAGTCCACCTGATCGTAAGTGGTTGCTGTAGCCCATAGACATCTACATCTCTATCTTCGTTTGCGAATTAAAATGCAGACGCGTTGTCAGCCGTGAGGACTAAGATAGAATGCCACTTTTCCAGTAAAAAGGGTCCCCGGTTCTCTACACTCACCATGCGAAACACAGCAGCATTAAGTTGCTATTTTAGGCTGGTATTCTGTGAGAGCGTGGTCCTTCCCCGGTCGAGCCGACCCATTCGTGCTACAACTATACTACTAATATAGCTGTAGCAAGGCTCTAATCGACTTAATTTGGTAAACATCATTATTTTTTCCCTGTAGGTGACACTACCTGTTAAAACATATAAAACCTACTTTCCTCAACTGTCATCATCTTCAAGTTTTACTTTTATTTGATTTTTTACTCCCTCTAAGCTATTGAAAGAGCTTTTTCTTCCAAATTATTTCCAGTAAGTATCGAATCAGTCGCCCAGTAAAATAAAAATATTCATAACAACTGTAACACCCTATTTCACCCTCTTATTGGTTGAATTTGCCAAAATCCTTTCTTAGTAAATGCTTATGTCATAAAAGGCAGCTGTTCTCAAAATTTCTGATTTCTATAGGGAAAGAGTTGCCGTTTTAATGGAGCAGCTATAGCGATATAAAATAAACCTACATGGTCCAAGATTCGTGATTAAAGCTTTTTTTTTTCTTAATAACTAACATTCTAAATTCAATAAAGATAAGTATGACGTGACAAATTGTTTTTATACTCAGCATTAGATTATGTATAATAAACACTAATAGTGAGTGAACTCCTTTGTTATACCGCAAAATATATAAAAATATGCAAGGGTTGTCACAAAAACATTTCCATACATAATAATATCATAACCACAGATTACTTAATAGTTTACTAAATCATAACATCATATTTTATCTGTATTCCTCGCAGTAATTTATTTTTCTATACAAAGATACAAACTAATTACTACTTTTCAAAACTAGTTGTGTTCTGCATCTTCACCTGATTTATCGTGATGGAAACATAGGCTTGTGTTGGTAGATACCTACCTAATTTTATTATATTTACCTATATAGCAGTATCTCAGGTATTCTGCTTAAAATATTGGGCAGTGTTGAACAGAATAAATAAAACAGATTAAAATTATACGTTGGTTCTGTTAATATTTACATTTATTATTGTTTTTTTTTAATTTTATTTGTTGAATTTAATGATATAATGAATTCTCATCCTTACATATAATACAATTAAAAATCGTGATGGAAAGCAATCACATGGTTATTGTATTTCAATTTTACTCAAGGCATCATACAATCTTATTTCAATATTTGACAATAATACCCAGTACCGTCTTTACCTTAAGGGCACAAGGGGCCCGTGCCCAGTGCCCCCAAAAGGCCGACATATTCGCATACACCATACAATATTTTTTCTATTTTTGGAAAATATAACGCGACACAAAAATTTATGAGGGCGTTGTTAGTGACTTTCTGGAAACCCTGAGCAGTGACAAGCCACACATTGCAGAGTTTGACAGAAAAAGTGGCATTTAAGTTGTACAATCGTCTTACTCATAGCCTGGATTTTTTTTTAATTTTCGGAAATCTATGTATTTATATAATTACAGCTAAATAAATGCTGCTAAATAAATAAATGCGCTGGATGCAGTCTAGTGGAAGGAGCTGGCACTGAGGTGCCCCGGTCCAGAGATGAGAACAGTATTCCATGTGAGGCCGAACTTGCGCTTTGTAAAGTTGCAAGCGATGTGCCGGCATGAAATACGAGAGCGAGACACGCTCTGCTGAGCACGCCAAGCTCAATTTGGCCTTCCCTTCCAAGTGACCACAAAACTGCACACCATTCGATATGTCGACGCCGAGGATTAAGATGCTAGCTGAGGCAGCAAGGGAAGTGCCTTGAAACTGAGGAGATACGACAAAGGCTTTTTAGCGGTAAACGCACAAACTTGTGTCTTCTGGGGATTGAACTAGACTAGATTTAGTCGCCCCTAATCCGAGATTTTGTTTAGCAAAGACTCGACTTCAGACACAAGTTTGTCCAGGGTACTCGGCGACGTTTTCCCGAGAAATATTGGCACGGCCGGTGTATAGAGCATCACCAGTGCTGTCGTCTGCATAGCAATGAATGTTACGAGCTTGCAACATATCATTGATATGCAAAAGAAGCAGTGTTGGTGCTAGCACGCAGCCTTGTGGAACACTAGCGTTAGTAGGCTTGTAATCAGAGCATACACCGTCTACTACGACCTTGATGCTCCGATCATCAAGGAAACTGGTGATCCAATTGTACACATTATATTTGTCTGCAAATATTGGCAATGAGTTTGTTAATTTAATGCAACAGCAAGTTTTAAAAACAATTGTCAACTAACCTTCATCGTTAGATACGTAAAACACGGAGCCTATAGAGAAATTTTTGTAGCTTTTGCCTATGGATAAACATTGTGCAGAATGTTTAGCAGATATCGTTTTAAGCTTTTTTGAAAGACATGATAATTTTTCTGAAGCTTTGTCCTCAATTGCAAGTGACATCAATCAACCAAGAGAAACAAGAAACGAAGCCCAAAGCCTAGCAAAAAAAAAAAATGGATAAATTGAATACTATACTTTTAACGGAGATATATGTAGAATGATTTTTTTGGAATTATGAACAAAACCAGCGAAGTTTACAGAATAGCACTATGACCATGGACGTTGCAACAAAACTTTACGCATCTCTGATTGATTATGTCACTAACACACGCAATAACTTACGAATCGATCGAAGAAAAAATTCAAATACTGACTATAAAGATAAGTCTGAAAGAAAAAGAATTCGCACCACACGCGTTCCTTTTTTTGAAGTATTGTCTGAGACTTTATAGTTAAATGGCAAAGAAAAATTTCGTGTAGATACGTTTATTACTTGTAATCGATACATTAAATTTACAATCGTTTTAGTTTTCTTTATCAATGAATAACAATCGATTCTGATGAATTGCCGAAAAAGTCAATGAATTTGATAAATTCTATCATGAACACATTAATGCACATGAGTTCAAATCAGAATGTTTTTATTTAGGAGAGTATTTAAAGAACACAGCAAAGGAATCTGTGGATTTGAATATGTAAGGCTGAGTTACATAAACTAATAAAGGCTGATAAATTAAAACAAACTGTTCATTTACTTAATAATCAACAATTGTAGTGGAGAGCGCTCGTATTCACATCTAAAGAGAATAAAAAATTACATACGAACAACTATGTTACAAGAACGACTAACAAATTAGTCAATAATTATGTGTATATAAAGTGATATCCTCAGAAAAACAACCCCGAATCGTCAATCGATCTTCGCCATTATTGTTCCTCTCACTGCTCACACGTCATCGTCAACTCTGGAACGGTAATAGCCATACGTCATCCTTCGTACTCGCCAAACCTTACTTTAGTAAATTACATTTTTTTCGCAGTTATTAAACTATACATTGTTTTAAGGACGCGTTTACAAATCGCGCAAAATTATGCTGTTTTTCGGTACATTTTATAACAAAACTAAACCAAATCAAATATAACTAATAACTAGCACATATAGACTGGTTCTTCATCTTAATATTATTATTTTTATGATCACACATTTTTATTCGTTAAATGGTAAGTGGGATTTATATAAATGAATCTGTGTACTTCGGTGACTGCCACTGGAACTCCTCGACGAGTAGTACTAGGTTTACCTAGTCAGTGCTGCCTTTTATGACATAGACAACACAATTTTTATTGTTCAGAACATAAAAAAAAATAAAAAAAAATATCAGGAACCCTGTGCCCTTGTTAGAAATAATCTAATTTTATATTAAACAATAGTACCTAGATATTAACTATGATGAATACACTAATTAATGTATATGATAATTAAATAAAAGAATAAATTACTTAGAAATTTATTTATATAACAATGTATATACTTGCAAACAAAATTATATCTACAGGCAACATAATTGACTGAGTAATTTTAAATGCAGATATATTATATTGTATCTAGTAATGATTCAGTCCAACACTAAAATTCAATAAATACTTTTATTATACACATTTTAAACCTCTACTTAGGAACAAACTATAAATTAATTAAATGTAGTCACTATACAATTCCACCGCCATTAATATGGTCTATCTCTTCTTGGGATAGAGGTGCTCTGCGATAGCGAGGTGGCAAATCTATATCAGATATAGTACTCATAGCCGCTGTATGTTGTGCTTGCTGTAAAAGAAATATAAAAACATAACTTTCTATTATGTTACGAAATTACAAGATGAATATAGGCAGCGTCGACCTTGATGATAGAATTCTAGCTGTGTCCATACAAACAAGTGGACTCAGTGCTACATATCACATAATATGTAGATCATGTAATGTCACTTTGTTTGTCTTCTGATCGGAACTGTCTTTTAGAATTCCGTTCATAAAATATTCATTAATTTCAATAAAACTAATTTTCATATAGGTGTTAAGTTTTTAAGTATTAAATGTTAATTTGATTCCAAAACTGTTAAGTGATAACTTAACAATTTATGAAATAAAATAAAAACGTTTTTGTAAATTGCTTAATAGCACAATGACATCACATAATAATGTAACGGCCCATTGTCGTCAGACATGAACAAAATATTTTGAATGTTTGACAGCCTAAATCAGCATAATGAAGCAGTTATTTTAAAAAAAATTCAGTCTGGGCGGCAACCACATTGGTACAATATGTTCACTTAAGGCGGCTCTTCAAGTTGACCAACATAGTGGCGAATGTGTTGGCAAAGACATTAGCCAAGAGTTTGTGATGGCGTCCACACGTTGCAAAGTCGTTCAGTTTGCTTTGGTTATTTGGTCGTTCATATTGAGGCGCTAACAGCTGCTGCAATTTATTTATTCACAGCATACCGCTACTACGTGAATATATATAAGAAAAGGGTGAAAAAAAAGAAATTTTATTTCTTCTGTTCCACAAACAATTTTCGGCTTGGTAGAGCTCTCTAAAGTGAAAAGTTTCTTCATTGGTCATTATTACTGCCATTTTGTAGACACTAGTTACGATGCGTGAATATAAAATTTAATTCAGGTGAGTGCAATCACTCTGGGAGCTCGTAGCAAACTAAATGTGCGCCCAACATGTGGACGCAGTGGCCAATATTCTGCCACAACCCTTGGATCTATTGTAATAAACCGACACCACATGGATCTTACGCCAACTTGTAGGCCATCATTCCAATACATAGTAACGTAAGCACAACACCCGCTCTACATTGGCCATTGGTATTGGCCAACACATTCGCCACTATGTTGGCCAATGTGAAGAGCCACCCTTAGGACTTTGGGTGATAATCTGAACTGAGGCAAACTTCGCATGGGCCTTAGGAGGTTAAGTGTCTAACCAAACTAGCTAAATGTGTAAAAAAAATCTTAATGATTAAATTTTTATGAAAATTTTAAAAACAGTAGTTTTATTTCTTTTTTTTTTATAAAACGCCTTATCTGTACTTTATCCAGCCAGGTTTATGTACATTAGGGATTGTTATTCCTAATCAGAATAAGAGTAATTTAATTATTGTACCAACTTGAAGATGTTAGGCAACCATCTTTAGGAAAATTTGGCCAGATTCATGGTTGCAGTACGTTACATTTTAAATTATTGAGAAAGAGCGGTAAGTATAAGAAGGGCATTGCACATACTTTGTTGTTTTTATCTTTTATAAAATAAGACCTCATAATTAAAAAAAAAAACAAATGGTGGCAGGTCAATGTTAGTCAGGTTCATAAAATACTAAACGAATATGACATTATTAATAACATTTTTACAATAACAGAGTAGAAAATAGTACCACAGCAGCGGTGTTCGCAGCAGGTGCCGCACCAGCGGATGAAGTTGTAGTTGGAATAGAAGGACTGCCCCCCGCAGAATGAGCTGAACCTCCTTTGCGGAATTTTATAACCGGTATACGGCAAAGAAAAGTCGTTACCCGTACCATGTTAAACTATTTAATATATTTTTAGGCACGAAATTTAATTTAACATTTGATTTTGATTATTCAACATAGATTGTGACTCCCATAGACTAATATATAATACTGGTGACTCCTTGACATTAGGAATGTTCGATGATCATCGATGTTAAAAATTAAATTATCGCTATTTTAACATCGATTGAAGCATCGATGTTAAAACAGCGATGTTTTAATTTCATGTCAAACATCAAAACACAATGAACCCATCCCTTTGTTGTGTATACCCACATAGTTTTAAAACAAAATGTAAGTATTTTTATTTCGATTTATTATCGATTATCGTTAGATTTATTGATTTGTCATAAGACTCAAATTATATGCAACAAAATTCAAAGCGAGTTAGATGCGGGTGCTGACGCGCGTGGCGTGTGCGTAGTGGGTGCGTGTCGTTGGAACGCGGCATTAATGATCAAAATAATAACACTAAAGTATCGTAAAATAAAAAAGCATTATCCATGCTCCTACAAGATTTTCAGTCATTATATATTGCCGGTATTTCTAGATTTACAGGATTAAAAAAAATGAAATTGTTTATCGGTAATGGCCAACATCGATATTTTGAGTATTATAAATATCTAACATCGATGTTGACTTATCGATGTCAACATCGATGTCTTCATCGATATTTTTGCAACATCGAGTATCCCTACTTGACAGCAAATAATCCTAATAGACATTGATAGGTTGTCATTATCCAATATCAATGACAGATTGACAGGTAGGTTGAATTTTTTCTTTTTTTCGGTCTTTTTGCCAAGATCATAGATTACCTAAATCTAAGGCCAAGATCAAAGCGTAGTATGCTCTTTTTTTCTAAGTTTAATTAAAACGATGACTCTTCTTGATAAAAATTTAAAAAAAAAAACGATTTTTGATCTTACTATGGTTAAGTTTGGCCTACTACATAGTATACTTATTTTTCTCAGAAATGAAAATCTATTGAAAAAAATTATAACTACAATGAATTATTTGAAAATGAAAAAAAGAAAAGTCTTTATAATCAGAGTCTTGTATAGGTTTCCTTTTTATTTAACCCATTCAGTCGTTGGTATATTTCGGGCGTATAAGGAATCCCTTACACATAGCCAAAATGCGCGTAGAAAACATAATACTCTCTTTACTGTCGTGCAATAGGGTAAAAGGTACCAAAATAATATATACTCCATGTCATGTACTATAGAACGACACAATATATACCTACTTCTACATAGTATTATAACCTCAGAGCGAAGGGAAAAATAAAATAAAAAACGTAGTAGGCAAAATGCATAATATCGAGTGTTACTTCAAATACTACCCCGTTTAGTGGCTTGTAAAATGAAAGTGGATAAAATGACTCCGTGGATGTCATAAGAGGCGACAATGGGAATCTAAGGCGGGAGACGAGCTGCAGCATCTTTCTGATAACAGCAAAATAACAATAAAAAAACTGCAGTTGCCAACCCACTCTCAAAGCGTGGCAACAATGGTAATATAGCCCCTATGTCATGAGTTACAAAAAGACAGCCCCCAGTCCCCGGCGGCCCCGCTATTTCTGGCTACGTGGCGACCATGGTGACGGCGGAGTGCTAAGAATCACCAGTGGCGGTTCGGTAGCTACCTGAGACGACTCGATCTGGCAACATATAACGCACGCACCCTGAGGACTGATGAGATTCTGGAGTAGGAAGAATAAATATACAAGTTGCGTTGGGATATTATAGGGTTATCTGAAGAGAGGCGGAGGCTACGGTAATACTCGTATCCGGAAACTTGTTCTATCACTGCGAGGGCGACCATCTGTCCCTAGGAAGTGTCGCATTCATCGTCCACAAGTCCCTCGTTAACGACGTTGTAAATATTGAGAGTGTGTACTAGAATCACCAAACCGTTTTCATTGAAGGTCATACAGGTTTACGCATCAACCTTGGTTCGTCCCGATGAGGTAGAGGAAATGTATGAGGATATCTCTAGGGCCATGCATTCCACCAAAACCCACTATATGATGTTAATGGAATACTTTAACGCAAAACTAGGCACAAGAGAGAACGGTGAGCCGAAGGTAAGGAAATTTGGGATAGGGCAACGCAACCCAAGGGGCCAGCAGCTGGCCGACTTCATGGAGAAAGAGGGACTCTTTATGAAGAGCTCTAGCTTTCAGAAGCGGCCCCACAGGAAGTGGACCTGATCGAGCCCCGACGGTTGGACAAAAAATTAGATTGACTTCTTTATGACGACCAGACAGCAACTGTTCAGTGATGTGATAGCAAGGTTGAAAACTGTATGCGATCACCGAATGGTAAGAGACAAACTGAACCTAAAAGTTAGGTAACTCTCCAGGTCATGCTCACGTCTAATGAAGTCAACGTTCCGTCCCCCTCGGGCTCTAATCGAAGCCCCGAAAACTTTCAGCTCGACTAACAAAATCGTTTTCAGTGCTTAGAAGACAGACGAGGTGGACGTTATGAATGACAAGCTCGTGGAAACAGTCCGCGCGGACGGAGCTAAGTTCGATCACACTCTTCATCACTCAAATCTCATGGCTGTTAAAAAGGAAATGAAATTTCAGTTTTCAGCAGATTTGACAGCATACAGGAAACTGAACAGATAGATCTCCAAATACATGCGGTGGGACTTGTGCAACTTTAATACAGCTCATATTGAAGAAGCGATCGAGCGGTATCAGGGCTCAAGTCTTTCTTTGCCTTTTGTACTGCCTTTGATGTAATTACAGCGAAGCTTCTGAAAGCGGGTGGCAAACCAGAACTTGAAGTCCTACAGAAGCTCGTTAATTCTCTCTTTTATGGTGGAACTACTCCGGAGGCGTGGAGCAGAAGTGCGGTGGTCGTTCTTTAAGAAAGGCGACAACGCTCTCTTGAATAACTACAGAACGATTTCCCTTTTGAGCGTCTACGTGCTGTTTTCAAGAATCATTACGAATCGTCTCGCACGCAGACTTAACGACTTCCAGCCTCCAGAACAAGCCGGTTTCCGAAAAGGCTTTAGCACCATAGACCACATTCGCGACGTACAGAAGACCGAAGAATATAATCTGCCACTTTACTTTACTTCTTGCGTATATAGACTGAGAAAGCCCTTGATTCCGTCGAAATTTAGACAGTGCAGCAGTCTCTTCAGCGGTACCAAGTTGACTGTCGGTATATCGAATCGCTGAAGTAAGGTAGGGCTACGATGGTTATCCGAGTATACCAGAGTACGAAAGCTGTCCAACTGCAGAGAGGTGTAATGTTAGACGTTATATCCCCGAAATTCTTCACTGCTGCGTTGGAAAACGTTATCAAGCTACTGGACTGGAAAGGATATGGTATTAACATCAATGGCGAGTACATCACTTATCTTCGATTTGCCGACGATATAGTTCTTATGGCAAAATCGCTGGAGGACCTTAGCACTATGCTCAATAACCTCAAGTGCCACCCAATAGGTCTTAAAATAAACATGGACAAAACAAAGATCATGCGTAACGTCCATGTCAAACCTATGCCGGTAGTTGTTGGGAGCACTAAGCTCAAAATTGTTGACGATTATGTTTACCTGGGACAAATAGTCCGACGTGGTAAGTTAAACTTCGACCGAGAGGTCAATCGACGGTATCAACTCGGCTGGGCAGCGTTCAGGAAATTACGGCACATCTTCTCCGGTATACCTCAAAACTTAAAAACAAGATTGTACAACTTGTGCGTGTTGCCAGTGATTACTTACGGATCCGAGACGTTGTCTTTTACTACTCGTCGTATAAGAAAGCTCATGGTCGCTCAGTGAGCTATGGAGCGGCTATGACTGGGATTTATCTGCGTGATAAACTGAGAAATGAGGATATCCACAGTAGAATTTGAGTGACCGACATAGCCCAACGGATTAATAAGCTGATGTGGCAACGGGTCGGCCATGTAACTCGAAGAACTGACAACCGATGGGAAAAAAAGGTTCTCTTGAATGGCAGCTTCGTATCGATAGGCGAAATGTACATGCAAGAAGTCGATGGATGCATGTGGCTCAGGACCGTGCTGCGTTGAATTCCTTGGGGGAGGCCTATGTTCATATGTGTGGACTTGTGAAGGGCTGCAATGATGATGAGGACTATTAAAAAATCATGATACAATAAATTTATTTGAAGAACCAAGAGCATCGGGATGCTGCTTTGCTGAACCAGTTCTGTTGAGATACCAGAGAAAACGGGATATCCCAGGTACATGCACTATTCGGCACCGTAGCCAGCAATAGCCAGGAACAGCAGGGCCGTCAGGGACTCGGGGCAGTCTGTCTTTCGTCGTTATGCCTTTGGTCATGGAGGGTATATTACCGTAGTTTCTACGCTTGGCAACCACTGTTTTTTATCTTAATTTGGCTATTATCAGAAAGATGCTGCTGCTCAACTTTTGGTTTGTTTCCCACTGTCGCCTTTTACGACACCCACGGGACGACAATGGGTAGTGAATCTTTTAACACCACCAGTACGCGGTGTGCAGATAGGTAGATATTGTTCTGCATTCATCATTCTTACATAAGATTATATCAAAGTAGGGGATGCAGTATTTGATTATATGAAGTCTGCTCACTGCTTATCCGCGCTGACTGTGTAACTCTTATTACTTACTACTACACAATACGTAATTTAGGCAGTTGGCCAGTCAGTTTGGCAAAGTTCATTCGGTCGCGCTAAATTCAGAGCTAGAGGCAGTGTTATTAGATTAGTCTTAATCTGAGGAACCAGAGATAGTGTTTATATCACTTGGTGTAATAAGCCCATGACTCACGCTTTTGCGTTAATTCATTGCGCCATACGCATTCTGTATGATCACCCATTTTTTATTGTCATAAACTCATAAGATTATTTTTATACATCAGAATATTTTATATTATATATTAGATCTTTCTGATTGTTTCCGTAGTCCCATGACCTCTTACGACACCCAGGGGATGAAATGCTTATTGAATGAAATATCTTCACAAATTTTTATTTCATAATGAATTTATTTTAATTACATACTTACTATTATACATAATGAAGTATGACTTAAAAATAATTTAAATATAATTTATTTCAATTACTCAACATACACTCTGCCCAAAAAAAAATTTGAACAGCCTATCTCTTATTTTGCATTGGAACACTTACAAAATCACAAAAAATACACAGATGACTTTTCTATTATATGCAAACAATTGCTAAAAAGAGAAAGAGCAAATATCTAAATAAGCTTCTACCAAGTAGATAGTTATATGGAAATATGCTTTTCATACTGTATATATAGTATTTAAACAGGCCTGCGGAAGTTCTTTCCGGCGTACTTAGCTGCAGCACCCAGTTCCTCTTCAATACGGAGGATTTGGTTATACTTAGCAAGACGCTCAGAACGGCAAGGTGCACCAGTCTTGATCTGGCCAGTGGACAAACCAACTACTAAATCAGCAATAAACGTATCCTCTGTTTCTCCAGACCTGGAATATAAAATTTTTAGTTTGTAACCAAAAAATATAAAAAAAACACAAAAGAGTTAAATTGCACATTTATGTCTAATGCTTTAACAAAATTATATGTGGCCATTACCTGTGAGAAACCATAGTTCCCCATCCATTCTGCTTAGCCAAAAGATGAGCATTAATTGACTCGGTGACACTGCCAATTTGGTTAACCTTCAGAAGTAAACAGTTGCAAGCCTTCTTTTCCACTGCCATGGCAATACGCTTAGGGTTTGTTACCTGATTCACAATATAATAATATTAGAAAAATTTGTTGCAGGTCAAGCCAATTTAAAAATGTAAAAATGTTGGAAATATATTTACATTTACAAACCGTAAATATTACAAAATGTGGTTTACTGATAGTCTCAGGTTCAAGGAAGAACACGAAATTTTACATTTGCTGTAAAATTTACATTTTAGTTTGCTTAATTCTTGAACCTAGTAGTTACACTGATTAGTCTATTGTGACAAAAAAAGAAAACACTGATTTTGTGACCCTCGAGGTGACCATACCATATGCCGGAAGTGCGGTTCTCACAGCGCTCGGTTCGCAGAGCACTCCTCTACCTTGACATCCAAAAGTCGAGTGGGCCTGACGGAATCCCCTCAATTGTGCTGAGGACGTGTGCTCCGGAGTTGGCACCGGTTCTAACGCGTCTTTTCCGGTACTCCTACTCCCTAGGCGTAGTCCCGAAATCATGGAAGACAGTGACGTGCAGTTTCGTGGTCACTTGGAAGAGAAGGCCAAATTGGCCTCTAAAAAGCTTGGCGTGCTCAGCAGAGCGGGACAGTATTTCATGCCAGCTTAACGCCTGCAACTTTACAAGGCGCAGGTTCAGCCTCACATGGAATACTGTTCCCATCTCTGGGCTGGGGCTCCCCAGTGCCAGCTCCTTCCACTTGAACGTATCCAGCGCAGAGCGGCTCGAATCGTCGACGACCGAGTCCTTTCCGATCGGCTCGACTCATTGGCACTGCGAAGAGATGTTGCATCTCTTTGCATTTTCTTTCGCATTTACCATGGGGAGTGCTCTGAGGAATTGTTCGGATTAATCCCAGCCGCCAAATTTCACGAACGCACATCGCGGGCCGCGGAGTTCCCGATACCATCCACACCATCTGGATGATTGGCGGTCCACCACTGTGCGATTTAGAAAATGTTTTCTTCCTCGCACAACTTCCTTGTGGAATAGTTTACCACCAGCGATTTTTCCTGATCGATACGACTTAGGGACCTTCAAGAAAAGAGCCTACTCCTTTTTAAAAGGCCGGCAACGCATCTGCAATTCCCCTGGTGTTGCGGTTGTTCATGGGCGGCGGTAGTCACTTACCATCAGGTGAGCCGCATGCTCGTTTTCCCCCTCTCCTATAAAAAAACCAAAATCAGTGTTTTCGTCTTGATATTGCTGGTCAAGTAATTTTGGATCTAGTAAGATCCAAAATTACTTGCTCATCATGTAATAAGTTAGTACCTAGTTTTGCCACAAGTGTGTGTGAGTGTGTGAGCAAAGAAATGCTTTCTCTATCTGTCTATCTATCCATCTTTAATAAACAAACTGTAGTATAAACCTGAGACTAATAATAAACAACTTGTAATAATATGACAGTTAAAATTTATTTGAAAATATTACTAATATTTTTTTGATTCTATCATAATAAACAAAATTATTTAAGTTACTTAATTACCGTAAGGTCATCGCCAACAATTTGAATGGGGGTGCGAGCGGTTAAACTAGCCCAAGCAGCCCAGTCATCTTGGTCAAAGGGATCCTCAATGGAAACCATTGGGAAGTCCTTAATAAAGTCGAGGTAAACTTCAGCAAGCTTGTCAGATGACAAGAAGTCAGCTGGGTTGGATTTTGGGTTCTTAAAGTCAAGATCATATGATCCATCCTTAAAGAACTCGGAAGCAGCAACATCCATTCCAATTTCAATCTAGAAAAATAAATTTTGTTTAATTGACCCAAATTTTATTAATATTTTGACACAATGATCTTGCTTATAGTAACAATTTTTTGGATAGAGCAAACAAAAACATTAATTAATAAATCATGTGTGCCATAATATCTCATACCTTGCCAGTGTAACCAGCTTGTTGAATAGCATCCTGAATTAAAAATAGAGCATCTTTATTGTTCTGGATATTGGGAGCAAAGCCACCCTCATCCCCAACAGCAGTGGAGTCAAGACCGAACTTTTCTTTTATAATTTTTTTTAAATGGTGGTAAACTTCAGAACCCATACGCATAGCTTCACTGAATGAAGAAGCACCTAAAAGAAATGATTGCATCAAAGTCAATATTTGTTTCTTACTGAGAACAAATTAAGAGAATAAGACAACCACGGTCCCACAGGAAGAACATACAGTCAGTCATCGCGTTTGATATTGTCGGAAAAGACGACATAAACAATAAATTGATAGGGTTGTCAGAACGGGAGTAATAAAAAAATAAAAAACTGATTTTATTTCATGTTTAAACAAATTAATCTGATGTGGAAACTGATGAAACTAATTAATTATTTTTAAATGAGGACGACCCACAGTTTTTTACTGCACATGTAGTATGAACCATTTTCATTATTTACGTAACAGGACAACCCTAGCGGACAGTTCCAGAGCTGCTAAGAACCGCTTGGGAAGTGGCTCACCCCACACCGCACCACACAATTGTCCCGTCCAGACGCCTTTGATGACAGACTGTTAGTAGTAGTTAGACTGTGACTGTACTTACCAGTTGGTAAAATCATAAACTCTTGCATAGCAAGTTTGTTGCCGGCATGAGAACCACCATTAATGACATTAAATGCAGGTACAGGTAGAACAATGTCACTATTACCAGCCAAGTCTGCTAAATGCTTGTAAAGAGGTACACCTTTCTTAGCTGCACCAGCCTTAGCCACTGCCAAGGAAACACCAAGAATGGCATTGGCACCCAACTTAGACTTGTTTTCAGTCCCATCTAAGTTGATCATAAATTCGTCAATCTAGAACAATCAATACATTAATTATTTATTATTTTGTTCTTTAAGCATACATATAAAATATTATTACTCATTATCATATTAAAAGAATTACCTCCTTTTGTTGAGTCACTTCAAGATTTTGTTTCAAAAGCTCTGGTGCAATGATATCATTGATATTTTTTATTGCAGTGAGGACACCCTTTCCATGATATTCACTCTTTATATTATCTCTAAGCTCTAGGGCTTCATGAACGCCAGTGGAGGCTCCTGAAGGAACAGCAGCACGGAAAAGACCCAATTCCGTTACCTGGATGACGGAATAAAAACATCATTCGATAAAACCTTCAAACAGTGTAAATTATTTAGTGTGATAAGAATACAAATAAAATTACTAGTTATTGTGATAATTAATATCATAAACTCTCACGACTGTCACTCACTGCCTTGCTTCTTTCACTTCCTTCTTTCACTTCTATATCTATATCACTTGCTTCTTTCACTTCCTATATATCTACGCATACATGCTTGTCAATTAAGAGTACTAGTAGCAGAGAGCCCATCTTCAATATATCGCCAATTTGTTTGTCTGCTACTCAATTATGCAGCATAAATTTGCTTTGTCACTCTTTCCTCATTCTACTCTTCTTTTTTGGCTCCTTGCTAGGTAGTCCAAGATACCGAAGCATTTATTTCTTAAACCTAGTCACAAAATCATCCAAACCACATTTCTTTTATCATTTTTTACCCTATAATTTAGAGTTACCCCAACATATTACTATTTCCCTTTCCTTTCCTTACATTTAAACAAAGATTTCAAAGTATTGCTTCCATCTCTTTAAACTTGAAACTGACAATTTAAAATTCATCTATTCACATCTTGCACAGCATTCAATTTAGATTGTTCCGACTTTCCCCTGGTGGTTCTGACAAGTCCTGATTTAGTCATTGGTAATTTTAGCCACATTTTCTTCTTTGCTTCAACTTCCATAAGTACCTTATTATCTCACACCATAACATTATAATTCTTGTCATTCTTTCCCTTACTTTTACCACATACCTAAGTTGCTGTATCTGTTACGACTAAAAGCCGAAGCACGGTTACACCTAGTTCTAGCCGGCTAGAACTAGGTGCGGGCAACAGTAGATGGTTAAATTTAGGTGTACTGGTAAATTCGTAAAAACACGGATATACGTATCAAGTAATATCAGTGACAGTAGGTTAAGGTGCGATTCGCAACAACCAAACCAAAACCACAGACATTTATCTCATTTATAAATTATATATGATACACCTAAGTGTAACCAACCGCAGTAGGCTGTAGCTGGTTAATCTTGTGTATCCGCAATTCGGCTTTTAGCCGTAACATATCCACCAAACCGGACTTAACTTTATCTCACACAGTCTCCAAGTCTGCATCTTTCATACACCATTCACCTGAATGATTATTTTTTTCTTTCAATATGCAACAATCTTTCAATTTCACCCCTTCCTCTTGTAATCTTTCTATTATTATACACTGTAATCGAATAGTAGCCACAGATGTCTGATGCAACAGACAACCTGAACAGCTAATCTCAGAACTGACCATTTAACAGGCATAACACCAAGTAATGTTCCACCCCCATGTAGGACCTTGGTATACTCTTGTATCCATCACTGTGCTTCTCATTCTCCCATCCACAATCATAAAAACAATCATGCTTATCTTTTCCTCTTTCCTGTATAAGAAGAAACATTTATCAATCAAGCAATAAATTCTTTATTGTACTTTATATACCAATGAGTGTTTCCAGATGCTCCGACATGCGCGGGACCTCCCGATTTTTAGTGGTTTCACATATTCACTAATGATTGGGATACAAAATGTCCCGATTTTTCACCAACCTCCTTAGTATATACTTTGATCCATAATTTGACAATGAAAATTAATATATCTTTAAGCTGCAACTGTCTAGTATGACTAAAGCAGTCAACGTAAAAGTTTTATATGTGGTAGAGCCACGCTGCAACTATATCAGTAGTATAGTTGTAGCAGGAATGGGTCGGCTCGAGCGGGGAAGGACCACGCTCTCACAGAATACCAGCGTTAAATAGCAGTTTAACACTGCTGTGTTTCGTATGGTGAGTGTAGAGAACCGGAGACCCTTTTTACTGGAAAAGAGGCATTTCAACTTAGTCCTCACGGGTGACAACGCATCTGCATTTTGATTCGCAAACGAGGATAAATGTAGATGTCTATGGCTCACAGCAACCACTTACCATCAGGTGGAATGTGTCCTCGTTTGTCACCCTATTCCTATAAATAAAAGTTTTAAAATAACTTCACGCTTTTTATGTTGGTGAAGTACAGATATAATTCATCCTGTCTCAGATGACTTAAATAACTAAATATAATAAACGTAAATATATGTAACACATTAAAATAAGATTTATAATATATAATATTATGTATCTTCTTATGACAAGAAAAAGAAGATTTTTTCCCCAAGCATTGTGTGCAGGGGTGTCACTTCCACTATGGAAGGTATGGAGCACTCCATACCTCAAGTTTTTCAAGGTATGGAATTCCATAGCTGAAATTAGGAAATAAATCGCATATTACTACAAACCCCATATAAATAAATCGCAAGCCCTTAAACCTCAATACCCCACATCTTATAGTTCAATAAATAAGTTGAGTATATACACTGCAAACTCTTAAACCTTAATACCCCACGAGTAATGCGAACAAATTTGAAAATCGCGCCACCATTTTCCATACCTCAGATTTTTACAAAGTGACACGCCTGATTGTGTGAGTAGGCTTTCACCATTTTCATTTATACATTCATCACCAAATGTTCCCAATATAATTTTATAACAAGACCTCAACCCTTCCATTAAAATCTAGCATACCAATAATTCCATTCCTCTCATCTTTACCATTTCAAAAAACTCTTAGTGGGCTTTGACAGACATGTCTGGGGCAGCAGCATTGGGTATTATATCATTAATAAAAAAAGTAAAGTTTTAAGACATAATAACTACTCACCAAATCAACTTCGACGGTAGGATTACCACGGGAGTCGAAAATCTGGCGAGCTTTAATGGATTTGATAGGCATTTTGATTGTACTGTGTGAATCTGTTGACATATGACAGTATTTCATTAGACAGTAAAATACAGAGGTGATATATTTCCAATTAAAAAAATTGTTTGGAAATTCTATCTCTCATATAGTAAACCGCTCACCGATGCAATAATAACTAACTCCGTACTATAAAAAAAAGATTAACTAATCAGGGTTTCAATATTATGTCTCTGTTTCAAGCATATTATAGAAAATATGAAATTTATGTACTAATTATAATGACTTAACACTGACCTGATTACACGCAAAGGACTGTTGTCCTCTTTGACCTCTCTTCAAATACCCTGACCCACCAAAGAGAATATAATTACTAGGTATGTATGTATACCCACAATTTTTATAGCAGGCAGTAAGTAACCCACGTAGATACTGGATATTTCTTGTACTATAAAAAATTTCCGGCGCCGGTTGTCTCCTAGATCTTACCAACTTTACCTTTAACCTTCACAAGGTGAAACTAGTGTCGAGCTGAGATCGATGTTGTTGGTTGAATTCGTACGACAAGAATTATAATCGATGGCAAAATAATTGATTATTCGATTATTTCAATTATTTAGTTATATAGATTAATCGATTAATTGAAGAAAAATTCTAAACTTTTCATTAATATAGATTAGATAGCTGTTACGATGTCCGAAATACTGTATTCTCGGTAAATTTAAACAGTAAAATTATCCAACAAATAAAAGGAATAAAATTCTTAAGGAAAATTATTTATCAAATTTAGACTTTCAGCTATTGGTGACAAAAAAATTAACATAGAAAGATGAGAACCAGTCAGCGTATTTCTCATGTCAGTAGCGATCAGGCCAGCCGCTGAGTCCAGAGTCTTTTAGACAAAGGGTATTAGTGTTCTGTGCTTTTAGAAGGCACCGATGTTGAAATAATTGACAAGTGTTAAATCGCCATTTTACAAAGAGTTGGTAATAAGCCACACCAACATGTTCTAATTTGACAATTAAACCTATATAGCTATGTTTATGAAAATAAGAATAGTTTTTGTTTCATGCAAATAGGTGCAGAAATACGAAAGTTATAACGTTTTGAAGTTTCGCAATTTTTTTAAATTTTTACCCGCTCGTTCTTTGTGAAGTGACGTCACAAGCCGACCACAGACTACTTAGTGGATACTACGTATCAGACGGGAATCTTAGAACAACCAATACGGACACGGTAGTTTAGAGTTTGACATTTGTTTACTTTCAAATTTTTTAGGTATTAGGCAAAAGTACATCATTGATAAAGCCTTTTGTCGTTACTTTTTAATTTTTTAGTTATAAGACGAAAGTACATTATAGATAAAGCCTTATTTCATTCGCCTCACAGCTATTCACCATTCAAAAATTTGAAAATATAATACAAAAATAAAACAACTGTTATTTTACTTATTTAAGTTTTTATTTTTTAATTTCTTTTGAAATTTTTTATAAGCTTTATCTTGCATATGCGGCAATTGCTTATGTAATTTTAATCTGACAATATCCAACCCTTTTAAGATTTTATTCACTATGTTACACCAGTTCCATATACATAATTTAATTGTAATGGAGACAAAATATTCTAGAAGAGCTTGTTTATGACTCCGGCATGTTAAGAAATCAAACGAATATTTGGATTTAATTTTATGTGCTATTTTTTTTGAAATTTCATAACTATTTGGTTTCAATTCCAAATATTCGTTTGTTTCTTTTACAATGTTTGAAAAATACCTCACTGCATATTCTGAGGGATAGGTTAATTTTTGTTTTTTTTTCAAGTTTCTGTACTCCCTGTGAGAAATCCATTGGTGGACTGACGACTCATTATTTTGGGTTAAACAGTTTTTACAATTGTTACATTTAATTATTTTTAAACATTTTTTCACAACCCATCCCGCAGTATATGCACGAGAGTGTACACTGAGTCTTTCTTTTCGAGCTTCTACTTGAATATTTTTCATGTCTTCGGGAGAGATTATTACATTAGAACTTGACAGAGGCATCTGGGTTTCACAAACTTGTGGTGCCTCTAATAATTTTTTTAATTTTATTATTTGTTCTCCCGAAGTCTCCTCACAATTATAATTTTCTGAATGAAAATTAATGAATCTGGTAACTAACAAGGAGCGAAATATATTTTTAAATGCTTGACAATTTGGGTCATTGCTTCTAAAACTATATGCCCGCATTTGTCCAAAAAAGTTTTCATTTGGGTCAGAATTGAAGTACCTTGGGCGCATAATTTTTAAACCCTTTTCTTTAAAGAAGCGCCACAATCTAGTTAAACTTTTTAATGTCACAACATAATTTTTTTGAGAGGGCACAATACACTCCTTGCCCTCTTTATTGATAAATCTCATTCCTTCTAATTTTTTTATGGAATTTTTCCAAAAAATTTCGTGCTCCGATGAGTTCGTTACAGCTTGCCTTAAGGGCTTCCCTTTGTTTTTCCGTGTAAGAGCTGCCCCATTACACGAATCAAATAAATCATCGAAAAATGACACAACTTCTGAAGTATTTTTTAATGTTGAGCTTACAGCTTTGCCATCAGCATAGTGGGCTGTAAAATAAAAATAAATATGATGTTAGTCATAGAAATCCTAAGTCACTACAAAAATTGTTATCTTTATTTTTATATTCTACATAATACAGCTTATATGTATTCATGCACCTTTATATGTTTTAATAAAAATAATCTCTTTCTCAATAGTTCTTCCTGGAACAGATCACTGTTTAGTATTAAGGCCGGCTAATTCTACATTTTGTATATAGTTTGTTGTCAGTGTTTATGTAATATAATATTGTATGCAAAAAAAGTATAAAAAAGTAAAATAAACAAATAGCAACTTTCTACATCTATATCCTCTGCTAAATTTAGAACTTCATTTATCAGTGAATTCAAAAGGTTCTCCAGTAGTAGCCGCATACCAGTAAGCAAATCGTAAGACGGCCCCCCACTAAGGTGTTAACCTGATAAGACATACAGGAAAATGATGGGTGCACATGGGGGAGGTCTGTGTATGACGGCATTCCTCGTGTAAGGCCTATGTTCAGCAGTGGACTTATAATGAGGCTATAATGACGATGATAATAGGATGTTAGAATGAGCCAATAACCGCAATACACTCTCCCATCATCAAGTTGTGATATTTTCGGTTCTGCTAATGTAAATGAATTACCTACAGTAGTGCGTTGCTAAAGCACTATTTATTTAGTAAGCAGGTCACTTCATGCAGGTGATGTTGGAATTTGGTGAAAAGTTTGATAGATTCCCCCTTATTTTAGGTCAAATATAAATTAGAATAAAATAATAATATTTAGATCAACAAACTTACAAAATTGTGATGTGTATGCCAAGGCTCCTGCAACAGTCTTGCTTAACACACGACTGCAGTTTTTCACCTGAAAGACCAAATGTTAATATTAATTATTTTGGCTTTATTCCAAAACTGTATTTACATAAAATAGTAATAGATCAACATTTTAATTTACACTGAAAGGTATAAAATTGTTAATGATAATTTATTTTCTTATATTGGTAGGCTTACCTTCATTTTTTTTATTTTCTGAGGAATGACATGTTCATCATTTAACTTATGCAGCAAACGCATTTCTGCATGTTTGCAGTCTGTTAAATAAACATCTACAATGTCATTCCATTTTGATGTTTTCCCATTCAATAATATATTTTTGTCAAGAAAATTGTTTCTTAGTCCTTTAATGAGGTGCGGAGGATCAAATATCACATTAATCTTTTGACCTCTTATTATGATTGTGTCGTCTGAAATGAAAACAAAAATTTGGTTAATAGGCAATTAAAAGTATAAAAATGCATTACTGATAATTTTAGCACTTTATTAAGAACTTTAATTTGTGGCTTTAAACCTTTCATTCAATTATCTTACCAGTATTTTCCTTTGCCAATATTTGTTTTTTTCTTGTATCTTCCTTCAACTTATTAATAGCTGACTGGAATGAAGTTCCCTGGTCTGATATCAAAGCCACAGGAATTAATCCAGTTTTTATTATTTCTTCTGTCACTTGCTCTATTATATTTTTTAATATAAGTGCAGGTGTAGTTCCTTTACAAAAATAAAAGGCAATAGGCTGTTGCCATTTGTGTACAGCACCTCGAATGAGGAACACTAAGGCATGGTCAGCATAGTCACAGGTTTTTGACAGTAACTCTACAAGCCCACAGATATTGTCATTGTATTTGTCATATGTAAGACCTGGCTCTATCGAAACTTCATCAAATATTAGCGAGCAATATTTTTTCGATTCTTGCCAATTTACAACCTAGGAATAAAAAACATTAGGTAATTAACTTAACATAATAATATATTTAACACAAAAATGAGTGTTTAAGGAAACAGTATACCTCAGTTTTAATCGCTTTGAATATATGAGGATTTATTCCCGAATCCATTTTCAACTTATTAATTAATTTATTAATTGTCCTTATGGAGGGAAGAATGAATATTCTTCGTAAAAATCTGTAGCTTTTTGGGCTTTGTTTCATTATAGCAAGTGCAATCATTTTTTCCTCATCAGAGAATCTCCACCCTTTTGAATGTTTTCCACTTTGCATTATTTGCATCCATATAATTTTTTTCGCAAGGGGTTTCAAGTTACAAGTTAATTTTTCAAAGTTTTCCTTTTTAGAAAACTTCATAGCCCTTTTGGCTCTTTTAGCAAAACTTAACTGTTTTTTAGCTTTTTTTAACTCGTTCAATATTCTCAAATATGATGGTGAAAATTTTTTATTCCTTGTAGTATTCTTCCGGATGCACTTTTTAGATGTCACCACATTACTACATTGCGGCAAATCTGCACAACATAAAATTTACTACTTAAAATTTCAATAATAACAATCTATAAAATATGACATTAATATATACAAATAAATAAAATTGACTCAATCGAAAGGCATGCTAAGAAGCTTATTGGTGACTTGAATTTGGTTAAAACAAATCTAACTAGCCTCGAACACAGGCGCAAAGTAGCCAGCCTTACGGTTTTCTACAGGATGCATGTCGGAAAGTGTGCTACACATCATTCTTCATGCGTCCAGCAAAGGAGTGGAATAAGTAGCCAGCATCTGTTTTTCCATTTGATTACAATCTGGGTGTCTTCAAGGCAAGAGTGAATAAGCTTTTGTTAAGTCAGTGTGCTTCACCATCTTAGGCTACAACATCACCACTTACCATCAGGTGGGATTGTAGTTAAGAGCTGGCTTATATTTAAAAAAATATATAAATAAACAGTTGAGTTACCTGGTATTATCGGTTGTTGATTGTTTTGGTCACAAGCAGTTTTTTCAAAGTCCTTACTAGTAGATGGCATATTGGCTAAAACATAAAAATAATTTAAACTTAAAGTATAAACTTAAAGCATGACAATTGAATCATTATAAAAGTTAAAATAATTTTGCCTAATTTCTTTAAAAAATTATTACTGTATTTTTAGAAGAATTTATGAAGATTTTTATGATTTTTACAATTATATTTACCAGTTTTGTCATGATGTAGACACACTGCTATTTTTTCTGTCATTTTAAAATGTTTATAGATGGATGGTGGTTCATTGTAATCTGGAAACAAATATTTTTTTCATAGTTAACGGTGAACAGCAGGCAAAATCCTTAAAATTTCTGCCATCAAAATGATAGTCACATCAGATAGTAGTTGTGTGGTATATATATTAAGAGCTACCACTATAGCTCGTGAAATAAATGACACAATGAACAACAAAGTGACTATCATTGTGATGTCAACAAAGTTAATGTAATAATAGGACAGCAGAAGTTGCTGTCATCTTAACGATGGCTTTAAATTTTTAATTTA